TAACAAATGATTCATAATTTCACATATTAAAAACAAAAATCTGGGGGGCTAGAGAGAGTTATCTCAATGGTTAAGAGCATTCGTTTCTCTTGCAAAAAAACTTGTGTTCAATTCCCAGAACCCACATGGTGGCTCATAGCCCTCTATAACTCCACTTCCAAGGTGTCTGACACCCTCTTCTGACCTCAGCAGGCACCAGACATACATGCAATGCACATACATACATGCAAGCAAAACACTCATAGAATAATAATTGAAAATTAAAAATACAAAAATTGAAAATAAGTAGGTAATTATATTACATCAATGTTTTCAAACATAATAATGTGCTGCAAATAAATCAGTGGAACAGAACAGAAAATCTAGGAAAAGATGTGAATATAGACAAGCATGGTAAATCATCATATTGTAAAGGGTAAGATACTTAATTATGATATAGTTGGTTATCCAACTAGAAGAAAATAAAGCATAATTTATAGTCAATTTAACTAAAAATATAATTCAAGAGCTAACATTTAGTTTAGTTTAATTCCTGTTATAAAACAGAAATAGACTGAAAAGCAAGAATTAAATATACTTGACGATATAAGCATCACACATTTTATATAAAAATTTAAAAGTATAGAAGGCAAAGTTATTTCAAAGACAGACAAGGGATAATGGTCTCTTGTTGTGAGACAATTTGTGAAATAAATAATTCCTGAAGAATTCACATTCATTTATCCAATCAATATTTATTGCAAGTGAATGTAAAACTACACAAGTTCTCAGGAAATTTTAGGTAACTATATCTGGTAACTATATATTTTTAAATAATTTTTCTGAGAGGAAAACTACAGTGAAGTCCATAACAAAGAACTTCTATGAAGGCATAGGGGAAACAATGAACAACCAAAAGAAAAAATGTGATGATGCATTTTCATTTATACCATAAACAAGATTAAACTATGTTCAGAATGCGAAGGCTCTGTAGGGATAAGTAAACTGGACTTTTGTTTTCTGTTTTCATATGAAAATATTCTCTGGAAATCTTGGTTAAGAGACCATTTGCAGAATAAATAATTCCTGAAGAATTCACATTCATTTATCTAATCAATATTTATTGCAAGTCAGTATTATGTAAAACTATGTCAGTTCTTGGGAAAATTTAGATAAATACACCTGATAACTATATACATTTGAATATTTTTCCAAGAGGAAAACTATAGTGATAATCTAAGCCTGATGCTCCCTAAAAAGAGAAAGAAAAACAAGTTTGGGGTGAAGCTGTGCTGCCTTTGGATATGTTATCATCTGTCTTTGAGCTACTGTATTTGTGGGAAAACAAGCAAAATTCAAGAAAAGTCAAGCCTTATGTGAGCATAACTAGCAGGGATTTTTTTCTTTCTTCCATCTTCCCTGTCTTAGTTCAGGTTTTTATTGCTGTGAGGAGACACCATGATCATGGCAATAAAGGAAACATTTAATTGAGGTGGCTCACTTACAGTTTCAGAGGTTCAGTCAATTATCATCATGGTGGGGAGCATGATGGCATGCAGGCAGATGTGGTGGTGGAGCTGAGATTGCTTATATCTTGACTCAGAGGCAACAGTCAGTCAACTGACTCACTGGACAGTATTCTGAGTATATGAAACTTCAAAGCCTGCCCCCACGGTGACACTCTTCCTCCAGTAGGTGTGGCCCAGATTAAAGGTACACCCTCCAACCTCAAAGTCTGGATAAAAGGCATGTCTCATCCAGCCTCCTCCAACAAGACCATACTTCCTCCAACAAGGCCATCCCTCCTTATAGTACCACTCCCTGAGTTTATGGAGGCCAAATACATTCAAACTCCCACATTCCCTAAGAGCCCATTTACTAGGTTACTCAAGAAAACTGAAGTTAAAGCTATCAGTTAAGAGCTAAGCGGACAAAAGATTAGCTCCTCTTCAGCAGTACATACAGAGATGGCCTACCAGGTTGTCTGGGAAAATTTTTAAGGAGTCCAAGTAGACCTTTATTTATAACTAGTAGTCATAATAGATAATAGTCAACTAAAGCTTAATCTATCCAGAGCAGGAACCCTGGCTGGCCAGCTGAGAACTGCACAGGTTGAATTCAAGCATTTCATACTGTTATTATTTGTGACATATGTTGTCAACATGGGAATGGTTTAACAACATGGCAATACCTACTCAAAGATAAGAAACTGAATAGAAAATGACTTGGCCTAAGGCACAGTATGGAATAGAAATCAATGTAATTTATCTTGAGAATATAAGTACCTCAAGAGTAAAGATGTCTTCTAGCCTACTTAGAAGTAAATCCTGGTCCTGGAGCTGTACAGGGTAAGCACAAAAAAAGAAAAATGAATGGACCCTACCCACATGAACGTCTTCTTCAAACACCACCAATCACTAACCAAAGCCTTGGAGTATGAATAGGTCAGATTTTCCAGCAAGAATAAGAGGAATTTGTTACACCTTTAGAAGATGAAACAGTATAGAAAAGGCTGGTATAAAAGAACTAGTCACTACCTCTCACAAATCCAATTGCTATAACTTCAGTTAACTAGGATATCTCACTTGCCATATGTTTCCTCCTTTTTGGGTAACTGACCATTCTAAACTTACCACAAATATGGAGATAAAAGCCAGCCAGCAATGTGTACTTTAGTTAACAATCCTGAGTAGTAACAAATAAAAAAGGGGAAAGGAAGCAGGGAGAAATAACACAAAGAAGGGAAAGGGGAAAGAAAAAAGTGTCTTTCTGTTTAGTGCTTGATTTCAGAAGTTTTAATATTATAAAATTTAAAATATAAACACATAAGTCACAAATTTTAAAATGTTCATATTGCTATCCCAGTTAGAGGAAAACTTTGGGTAAGGCTTATTGTGCACTCCGTGATAGAAGCACCATAAAAGAAGAAAGTACTGAAGGCTGTGTACGTAACCCTGAAGTGACAAAGAAAAGCATCAAAATCTTGCTCTGCATGGGAATGATGTGTAAATCACTGCTTAAGATGTGAGTTTATAATGTGATTACAGTTTCAAAACAACAGCAATGGCATACTTCCAGTTCCTACCACATGCTCACCATGGTACAGCTCTGAGACCCAACTCGACAAGGCTGCCTCTCCCTAAAACACTGCTGACCATACTCACACCAGAAGACAACAGCACATTGGACATATGCTACTAAAGCTTCTGCCTGAGAGACATATGTTGATTTTGCTCACATTTCAGAGGCCCAAACAAGTAGCCATACCTGACTTTAACAGAATTGCAATGTATTAAAGTTTCCTCTACCCAGGGATAACACTAAATTTTGGGCATCAGTAAGCAGACATCTTTATCTTGTTTTTTGCATTAAAGGGAAATTTCCCATCATTTAACTATCTTAGGAATAAATACTGATAATTATACGTAGAAAATGAGAGTTTCTTGATACAGGGTCTTATATCCCAAGCTGGCCTGAATTAATTAAACCTCCAAAA